GCCTTTTTTTGTCGTTAATCTATGTTGAATGTATCGCGACTCGATCAGCTTAGATATCGAGATGTCTTTAATTTGCAAATAAACAAACAAACAGAATATTCACTTAAACAAATTATATGTAAATGATCCAGTTCTGGAAGAATTTGTTCAACTAAGAACTAAGATGCTTTCCAGCTTTCTCTTCGGGCCATAGTAGGCAAGTCTTTCAAATAAATTGCTCGCCGGAAGAGCTAAATGAAAAGCTAATCATTTGAGCAGAGTTCACGTATCGTTATATGTGAAATGTACTATTTAAATTTGACATTTTAAGCTCGGTATTTTCCTTTCGTTCTTTCTATTTCTTGCGCTTTACCATATTCTATTTTTGTAACACCATAGTTACTTCAAACATGCTGCGTTATTTTTTCTTCCATCTCAGTTGCGACGATTTTATCATCTTACTTATGGTAGTTGTAAACGATATAAGAACGTTTCCGTTTTAATGAAAGAAATGAAAAAGAATAAATTTTCTATTCAGCGTGAATTTAGTTTTCTATCTTTTGCTCTCTCACTGTGAATTTAATGCATAATCCGCCAATTTGATCAATTAATATCGCATTAAGTCGAAAGTAGTTACTTGCGTTTTTACTTATACTTGGTTTTCGCGGTAAAATCCATTTTTCTCCCTCAGAAGCCCTTTCATTAAAAACGAATGATATATTTAGAATCAGCGCACCGAACTGCATCGAATGATATGTTAGCTTCATGTTTTTATGCGCAACAAATCGTTCGATTTAATAAAATGACAGATTTGCAGCATTCTCGTAGCAGTTTTGGCTAGGCACCAGGATTTTTTATATAGAAGCAGTTTGAAAGCCTACGAAAACTATTTTCATAGGTTTTCGGATGCGCAGAGTTCAAAAACACTTTTAGTTGGGCTTTTCCTAGATCGGATATGTGGAAAACCCTGATAAAAACATCTTTGAACTCGTAAATCACAACACTGGAAAGAGCGCATACGAAAACCTATAAAAATAGTGCTTTGAGGCTTTCGTATCACTTTTATAGCACATGTTCACGTCTCTGGTCAAAACTGCCTACTGTACAATATCCCGTAGAAGATCATTATCCTTCTGGAAAAAAGTCAACTTTCCAATCTTCTCACAGGGCATTTGGCTCTCTAGTTTTCCTTTGTCTCACAAACTAGAGAGTTAATTACTTTCTTTTCTATGAAGCTCATTACCTTCTTTGTTTTCTTTCCGTAACAAACATTTTCAGCAGGAAAAAATGCACGCAAGATCACCTCTAATAAAAAAGAAATGTTATCATTAAAAATTGTATGGTTTGGAAAAATATTGTTTTCCTTCAAGAAGAAAAATTGAATAACTGGTGAATTTATAAAGATATAGCGCTCAAATTTTCTGTAATATTAATAGACTATTAGCACAAGCAAGTACAGAAGAAAATTGTAACTCTTATTTCTTTGTTTTGGTTGAGTTACAGGATTTTTACTTTTGCTGCACATAGTGCTCCTTTAGCACAAAAGCAATTCATAACTTTTGAAAGAAGTAATATGGGCCCAAATCCTTTTAGGATTATTGTCAGCTCACTTTCTTTGATCAACCGGTATACTATTGTTGAAAGCGGAGTTGGGCATCAGAAGACCATTCCTTGTTAGTGTTGTTGAATATATATAGAACAGTATCCTTTAAAACAACGTCGCAAAGGAAAGTTTTCTTCTAGAAATTCTTCGAAGTATTAGAGTCATGAAAAGCGTCAATATCACCGTCCAAATTCTCCTTTTCTAATGAAGAGAACGCAGGTTTTGGAAAGTATATCGGGTGCAGCTGAATATGTGTATCTTTTTCTTACAATATCCTGAATTCGAATACAAAATTCGGCTATAACTTGATGAAAATAATTCGAGATATTAATGAGAATCTTTAGTTTGCTAAAATCTCTATATGTTCAAGGTTATCTGTAATGGCATTGTGAGGTAGCCATTCCGTTGTAGTTGTGTAATAGTAATATTCTAGTTCAATTTACCGTTCTGTTCTCAGTACATTTATACATTTATTTGTAAAAAGATTGCAGCTAAAAATATATTACATACGCAAGTTACCTGCAGATCGAGCAAATAAACATACATCAAAACAGTGAGTTGCTGAGAAAAAAGCTTTAAACAACTTTAGATGGATCAGAGGAAATTTCGAATCCTTGTATATAAACAACTCAGAGTCAATGCGTTCATTTCAGTTAAAAAAACATTTTTCTGCTGCTTTTATCAGCTCTTATCTTGAGTTGTGGTGACAATTGTTCACGTTTTTTCACATTATGGTCGTCGTCCACCTGGTCCCCCACGATTTCCACCTGGTCCCCCACGATTTCCACCTGGTCCTCCACGATTTCCACCTGGTCCTCCACGATTTCCACCTGGTCTACCCCAAGGATTACCATCATTTCCGTCTTCGTCTTCGCTGCTGTCATTCGTATTGCTTGAGAACCAATCAGCACAGTTGTCTTGGACAATCTGTCTAAGTCCTTGTTTTAATTGTTGAATAAGCTTCCCTTGAGCAACCCATGCGTCACGTGTGAGATTTTGTGCTGCGATCGCTTGCCGATCTTGATCAACTAGTGGTTTCAAATTCTGAAAAAAGGCTGTTGTATTGTCCAAGAAGGCTTGTTCATTGGCTGAATCGCGAAGATATGCTAATGTGTTTGACCATGATGAAAAAACGGATGCATAGGAGCCGTTGTTTTGTGCGTCAGTCAGATATTGCTGTACTGCATTGTATAACGTATTACCTGTTGTTGTACTGTTTTCAAGGCACGATTCGAGATTTTCCAACATTTTTCTCCATCTGCCTCCATCACGTGGTCCCGAACCACCACCATGTTGCCATCCATTATCATTTCCTTGTGGTCGAGCTGACGCGTAGCAAGCAATTGCTACTATCAACTAAAATCATAGAAAAATAGAGTGCCTATTCTTGATGAACCGAAAAAAATATATAAAATTAATTAATTTCAGAGTTAACTTACCAGAGTCGATGCTAAATATGATTTCATCGTTATTTAAAATATTTTTTGAGTGCGAGTAAATCAAGTATAATTGTAGAAAATGCTTTCGTTCATGTACTCTTATATACGTTTCTGATAAGCCAATAATTTAAATAGAAAATCGAGAAAGTTCTTTGTCCATTTTCTATTCTTTTTCTCTCCGTGGTTTCATGACATACAACCTCCTTTCTTTTTGTGTGTGTTGATTTACTCGGTACCACCTTGTTTTTTTTATGCACTGTGTAATTTTTTCTTTCTTTTATTATGATAATATAGCAATGATAATTATTTACATTTTTAACAGAAAAGAAACTAAAGAAAAAATCAGTTTCAACATCAGTAATAGTGTATTATAGTGTATACTAGTGTCAACGAACTGTGAATTAATCAAATTTAAATGAAGAAAAAGATTGTACTTTCTCTGTTCATGACACTATCGATGATTAATCGGTATGTTTTTCATTTTTTGGACTTGAGAAGAAGAAAAGAAGAAAAAAACTGTGAATAAGTTTATTTATGTTAGCGATGTTTTCTGTATGAAGATAAACTACGGTTTAATTTAACTTTGTTTCTTTTATGAAACGAGAAGTATCGATTAGAAATTGATCTTTAACTTAACAAAATGTGTCTAACCAATCATAGTTGGGGTCAAGTGATTATATGCAACACAACGTTCACTCCTTAACGAATTGAGAAGACACATGTCAGCAAATCTACGTTTTTATCTCTCGTGGTAAAAAGCCTAGTCTCCCGCTGAACAAGAGCATCCGCTGTTTTGGCAGTGTCGTCACTCTATGGCAATGAAAGTGTTCATTAGACCTTTGGACGACTAAAACGATTATTGAAGATTGTAACTAATACTATTATTATTCTGTTAGCTAACAATAAAAAAATGGTACGTTTTTCTACCTGCTAGCTCGTTTTATTTTATTTATGATGCTGATAAACTTTTTTAATTCCAAAGCCGAAACTATGCAGATAAAATCTTATTTATCTCCTCGCTTTTTCATGTCTCATTCCTTTGACTGCTGTTTTCCATTTGTCAGTTGTGAATACATGTATCAGAAGAGAATTAATAAAACCTTAAAATTAATCTAAAAGCTGTTTAAGTTTAACAAGTTGCACTTTTCTGTCAGTTGATTCCTGAGAAACAAAAACATTTTTAATGAAGAAAACGGAAGAATCAGATCCTTTAATTATTTTCATGTGTCATCCGTGTTGAACATCACATTGCCGGCACTCTAAGAATAAAGGAAAGCCAATGTTTAGCACAGTTTGAATCTCGTACTAATAAGCCGATCAAAGTATACTGGTTTTTACAAAGTACTGTTTTTAGAATGCACTATGCTTGAACTCGTGTAGAATTATGATCAGAATAACATGAGCCAATCGACCAACAATTAAGTGTTTGTACTTTTAGCACTTTTTTGCTTTCTGGCAATCCTTTTTCTGGAAAGAAAAAGAATGTAGAAAAAAGTACGTACTCATTAAGAAATGAATCTTGTGACAAGGCATATAAAAGTATTATTATGTGTTGCTCACATAATGTCAAAAGCAAGAACAGCAGGAGAAAAGAAGAAAAACAAATAATTCTTTACAAAATACAACATGAAACTAATAGGGCCGAATAAATCATAACGTTTCATTCACCATCTAGCAATTCTTTTACTGTTGAGTCATCCATTTTCGAGTGAATTTTATAGCATTGATCAAAAGTCGAAAGTGCAAACATGATATCTTACTCAACAAAACCGACAGAAAGTTCATCTCTACGGTACTGTTGAAATTTTATTCAAAGGTGGTAACGGTTGTTAAAAGTTAGCTCTTTATTCTTGTCTAACGACTGCTTAAGCACATAAGAAATAAAAAGCGTTCAGTCCATGGATAGAAATGGTGTGTAGCATTAGAAGGTTTTGTAGTCAGAACTTGCGTTTTACCACATTGACGTTCTCTGATCAAATCATTTTTCTGTATGTGCAGCGTTTAGATGTTTGGTAATCTTGGTTTAGTTAAGATTTAAGTTAAAACCGCAGTTTACTGAAAAAGCGGAATGACGCGTCATTTTAGCATAAATGTCAGCTTTTCTCAAAGAACGGAAAAGAATTAAAAACTGAAAATATTGGCAATGTCATTTGACATGTTTGGTGTGATGAAACGTATGTCTTTTGTTTATTTTTAGAGTCTTTTTTTCTTAAAGTTTTATGTTAGAAAAACTGCTTATTACTTAGTATTAAATCTGCAGATATTTTCTGGGACACTTTTCTGTTAACTTGTAGCTAATTATCTCTTCTATGCAATGCCGAACACCGCAAGCTTCGAAGTACATTGTTCGAAAGTTATTAAAGATAACGCCACCGTTGTTCTTCTTTTTTATGGACGGACAGTGGGTGTGTTTGATTAGGTGGATGTTGATAATACGACAGAAAATGTTAAAGATAAATAAACAGCTAAAAATTTTAATATTTTTATATTTTTGCACAAAATGAGTTTTGTATGCAAACAGACAAAAATACGCTACAAATGCCTCACAACGATTCTCATCCACAGAAACAACTTTACTGGCAAACCCTTCGTCTCTTTTGTGTTAGTGTTGTCTGTGGTTATCCAGATTTAAATAATTCAATAGCATAATCACCATAATAAATAAACAAAAATAAAACATCCCGCTTCATGTGTAACGTCTGCACGAAACGATATTCCAACAATACCATGCCATGTTGGACTACATGTTAAATTAAACTGACTTTTTATTTAGACGGCAATATTTGCTTCTATTTTCTATTTGGAAAATGCTTGTTTGTGGTATAAATACCATCTTGTGTCATCGCTTGATCCATATCATTACTTCTTATATCAACCATAATCATTCTTTAAAACTGTGTGTAAACGAGACAAAGAGAGCAATTAAAATAGTTTATCTCGAAAAACAATTATTTAATGTCTTACAGAAGCAGCAGAAAACGTTACTGATATCTTTATTTTGATCAGTGGAACTAGTGTAAAGAGCTAACAATTGTACAGTCATCGTCTAATTGACTAAAATGTATACACTGTGTTATGTTCACATCCTGTAGCAATCATTGTGCCTTATGTACTCAACGAATTATGTTGTGAACTTTTACTCGAAACAGAATCCTCTGCTAAAAAGAAGCATTGATATTATGAACTGGCCATTCGAATCGGATGATGCTTAGTCAGACGTGTCCGATGCGATTGAAATTAAGCTTCAAATAGTGAACTAATATTTACCTTTCAAACCAAATGCATAAATTTTGTCAATTTAATTGTTTCTCTCGAAATGTGACAACTTTCAGTTGTTTTATACACAATTCCATTAGTGCTCGGTTTTTTCCCTAATTATTTCCTTGAAGGTTCTGTACTCGAACAAACAAGCAAAAATTATACAGAATATCATGGTCGTACTTTAGAAAAAATCAAACACATCTAACCTCATTAATCAATCGGTCCGAATTTTGTTTATAAAATAAAAATGTGTTACGAACGTTCGCCCCACCATCTCATCTCGCTTTTTGAAATCGTAAAAGGCAAATATCTATATGCATGATGATAAATAGCTAGACGGAGGATCTTGATGAAAAAAAGTGCAATCTGCAGAAATAAAAATGTCAGAAGTGCTGAAAACGCCCGTTATTATATGTGACACTAAGAAATAAACTTTCCCTCCCGTTTTCAATGGTGTATATGGCGCTGGGTAGATGTCAGGTCCTAGTAAAAACTCTAAAAGGTTTTGGGTTCTTGATGCTTCTTTTAAAAAGTATAAATTTTTTTGTTGACGTGCCCCAGAGGATCTAGTAACAGTAAAAATTTCATAACTCAGTCAAACCATTGCAATAAGGATTGAAATGTTTTCCTGTAGCTGCGCTCGGAGTCTGTTAGTATTCTAGCCCTTCGACTAAGAAAAATTATGACATTTTTTCTTCGTTACAGATAGTCATGTGTTCGAAACAGGGTTGTCAGAAGTGGTGAGTCATGGGGGACGGAAGAAAGAATCACCATGACAATTTCTGTGTTCCGTCCCCCATGACTCACCACTTCTGGCAACCCTGGTTCCAAAGAACACAGTGTTCATACACATAATAATTGCGCGCTTTTATTACTCGATATTGATGATGAACATACATCTTGGAAGGATAGTTGGCTGGTTGCCTTAATGACCATCATCAAGGAAATTGTTAACGATTGTCCACTACGTATGGAATAACTTTTGAAAGAAGAAACAAGAACTCGAAACCTTTGACAGTTTTTCTAGGCCCCTACAGTCTTGAAAAAAACGTATATTACGAAACCAAACTAGAGTATTTGCATTTGCGACCATACGAAACGCTTTTCCGTTTTAAATTCAGAGTGAAAGAACCTCTCTCGTTTATTAAAACACTGCTTCAACAGTAAATGAAAAGACGGCTAAGGGTTTCTCATTCGAAACCGAATTGCGTTTTGTATAATCGCAAATGCAAGTATCCGCTGAAATACTATTTTTTGGTATTTAAACTATGCGTCAGGGTTTGATGCAATTCATACAATCGATTTATTTTTCCTGTTTTCATTTGAAAATCTCTTGCTCTAAATGATCAAATCTAATCTATCTAAACAGAGGCACAAATGAAGAGAAAAGAGTATTACTGGCTTCTTGAAATAAAGAGGATCTAAAAACGCTTTTCTCTCTTAAGGAAAAAGCTTCTACATAGTGATACAAAGATCATTTTTGTTAGTGAGCTTACTGATGCCACAGAACAGAAGGTGCATGCCTAGTGAATATATCGCCGCATTTTCCTTGCCGTTCTTGACTGGAAGGTTGTGGAAACTTCGAAACTTCACAAAACTGACTGCGGCGGCTGTCAATTTTAACATTGGAACTTTTGCACTGCTTACAAAATGTCGGATCTTTGCGTATTTTCTTTCCATTTCTTGTTTGGAAGGTTGTGGAAGCTTCTGAGACGTCTGATTTTGTTCAGGATTGAACGTACTATCGACTAGTGTGGTCGAAAATATTTTTATGTGTATTCTAAGTCGTCGGGGATTTCTGTAAAGCCAAGGTTGTAGATGCTTTCGACCTGTTCAGGAGTATTCATACGGGATTTTTTCGTCGATCTATATAAATCTCGACGTCGCCTTTCATTGGAGTCCAAATTCAAGATTTTTGGATAGGGATGGCAGTTCTGAGAAGTTTTACAGAAGGGACTGTTTCTGCTGGAGAATGCTAAAAAGTCCGACTCTCTGTTAGTAAGATATTTTGACTGTATCTTTTTTTCCTACACAGCTAGAGAGCTGCGGTTTTCACCACTGGATTTAGTGCCCCAAAGTGCATCTGGAAAATGTATATCTCACTTCCTGCACTACAAATTTTGTATAACGTAGTAAGTATCATATGCATTGACTCTCTGGCCTTTTCTAAAATATTGTTGTTTTCCAGACTAGTCTGGACAGGATGCCGGACATTTCGGACTAGTTCGAACGCCAGTCAATCGCTTTTTCTCTTTACCCGGGTAGTATTTTACCCTTTGGATTGAATTAATTCCAGGATCTAAAGATGTCACATTGAACAACAAGTCCTAGAAGATCCCTCAATGAACAGACAATTTCAACAGACAGATTTCAAGCGAAGGGCTCTTTGATTGACCACAATCACTTTACTTGTCGAATGAGATAAGTCTCGAATGGTGTGTAAACCACCGTGATGAGTTATGCTGTCCTTTTCTAGTGCTGAATACAGCTCCAACTAAGTGTATCTTTGCGTGGAAACGTCGTTCGGCCGGGTCAAAACTACCTGGTTTGGTGAATTATTCAACGTTGGGATAAGTCACTGACATATAAATTTTTTATCGCCTTCTTCCTATCGGACAAAAAAAGTAAAAAGATCTCCCAGAATCTATTTCATATGACTTTATGGCAGAGTAAGACGTTTTCCACAGTGCCTTAAGATGATAAAAGTAAAGTAACAACCAATCTGTACGTCACGTACTAATACATACACACTTTGCCAAACCAACTTCCCTCATCGTTTATAGACGCACATGCAAGGTAACCGAAAAACACCCATAAACGCATTGTAATTGCGCAAACATTTGACAATATCTACATAGAAGAAGAGGATGACACTATAAAAGATAAGAAATAAAAGCCATATGAACCATAGGAAAAGACTATAAATATGTTCGTAACATGGAGCATAAAGAATCTAGTCTACTCTTTATTTACGTAACGATTGTCGACATAAAACAATAACCATAAACAATGCAAAGCCAATGAATTTTCAACTGCTTTCATCGACATAGTAAAACAAATGGACAACGCAGATAAAGAAGGCTTCAAGCACCGCACCGGACTCTGGGAACGACATGGTTCACCTGAAGGTGATGAAACTACTTTTGGCTATGGTCATAAACTTCAGTTAGGAGAAACTTATTTTGCAAAGACTCCTCAAACAACAGCTCAGATTGAACAACCATTAAAAAAAGATCCTGTTGAACATGCTAAAAAAGCAAAAAAAATCTATGATAATCATATTTGTGCGATGTATGACGCCAATGAATTGGGTTTTATAAGCAAAGTAAGGGACTCTGAAAAAAAAATTCTTTTTAGCAAAAGAAAGGTCGTTAGCTTCTCTATAAACCTTGCTCGAGACACCTTTTAATAGCTCTTCTAAATTTGCAGGAATTTGCACTTTAATGAGGAGTAGTTAGAATTTAGGGTCTTTTTATGTCACAGCGTTACCGGTGTAAAAAGGTTTTGTGGAAGTTCGAGTTTTTAACCAAAAATCTTCGTTTCTATACTCAAACTAGAGTAAGAAGAGTCGCGTCGAATGGCGTAAAAACAAAGCTTTCTAGCTCTTATAGTTTTCGAGAAAACCCCAAACTACTGTGTCAAAAATGTCACAGCGTTATCTTTGGATCAGCCGCCAGCGGGACCAGTTTGTTTTTTGGGCAGTTATTAAAAGTACTCCGTAATATCATTAAAACTCGTTTTCCAAAGGGTATCCGGATCTCAGTATGGACGTTGACGCTAAAAATAAAGTTTCTTATGTTAACTTCTTTTTTATATTGTTTTACCTAGAAGTCCTTAATACATAACCGATTGGCCGCTGATATTAACCAGGTTTGTAACTGTAGTTTTATTCTGACTTTTAAGATTTTATTGTTTTTAGTATGCAAATGAACGTATGAAACATATGCACGGTACGGCATTGACGAGCTGAGTCCAAATTGTTAGAGTCAAGTGCTATTTCAATTAGAGCACGAACGAAAGATCAGCCAAACACTGAAAAACAAGAAAAAAAATAGTCAGAAGAAATGCAGGAACGCGAAACAAACTGTATTTTGGTTGCAGAATCAGAATCAGAATCAGAATCATGTGCTTATCATATTTCATAGATAATAAAATAGCTAATAAAATTAACTATAATATTTACAGTTTCGATTGTTTTCATCTATTCATACCTTTCGTACATATCACGAACACATCATTCGGCTCTGTTTCAAAACGTTAGCCGTACATATCACTCATATTTCCAAATCATACTCGTCCTCTCTTCAGGTTGCATTGACTCCTGGTGTAAGTATTTTTTGTACGCTTATTGATAAATGGCTGTGGTAAAATAATTGTTCTGTTAACCGTATTTTCATTCATTGATATTTGTATTTTGTCGATACTGATCGCTGCGTTTCTCATTATTGTTGTAGTTATTAACAAACATACAACACACGGGTTGATTAAATTTGTTAAAACGAGCTGAAAAACAGTTAGCAGTCGATATAGCATTATATTGTAATCAAGGTGATATAAAAAAAGCTGACAAAAACTAAAACAAGAGTTTGATTATTTTTCAAGTCAATTGATGAATATTTAGAAAGTAGTCGTGATTAATATATGATCTGTTTTTCCGGTTTAGTTATTAATAAAGCACTGTTGATAAAAGTTACTTTTGCATTGTCATCAACGGTTCTTACAACTTTTGTTAGATTAATTTAAAAAACGTCTAGACTTTCGTAAAACGCCTTCCTATACTTCATAAAAATAGAGGGAGGGTTACAGCAGCGTTCAACTCCTAACAATTCAGAAATTTTGAGCAAAAGTGTAAAAATGCTAATCTCTGAAAAAGAAAAAATATGTATGAGATATCTTTCTCTATATATTCTTTCAAAATACCTGGCGCGTGCCATGAACTTTTCATCAGCTCATTTCATGACTATCTCGTCTGGTTATATAAAAGTATATAATGATTTTTGCAGTAGTTTTTAGTTTAAAACTAAAAGCTGCTGCAAAAATCATTATATAATTTAATTCTAAGTCCTTACTCTTCGATATAATTATGAGCCATTAAAGATAAGCTACGACCTATGACCATATAATGCTGATTAATCGATCATGTCAAATTTCTTCCAACATAGTGAGCTTCTTTAGAGCAAACAGTTTCGTTGGCGAAAACCGCAGGTCCTAAAATTGTTGCAGTGCTGAAACATTTAATTTGTGCAAAGACTCTGAAAACGCACAAATTCCGGCATCTAAGAAAACTGTCGATTTAAACTACATGCAACTTCGTAACGACACATTACTTAGATTTAAGAATTCTATCATAACTACTAGATAGTGTCTACTAACTAATTTACACAATCGCAAGCCCCAAACATGCTTCCGTTCTTTTACAGTAGATGATCTCATGAGAGCCCAAATCATCGATCCGGTCATTTGAAGAAAGATTTTCTCTCGGAAAATCGGCCGAATTTTCCACTCCCTACGATATTGTTGGAGTTCACCAAGTATACTATCATGAACCAGGGTGAGATTTTGGGGATCTTTTGAAATCCCCTGAAAAACCAAGTGAGGTTTCTAGAAAATCAGACCATGAAATTTTTCAATCGAATTTGGGTTTTTTACATCAGCCATTTTATAGAGCATATCAAATTACACATGCAAGTTATTTTGTATAACAATTCGATTAGTTTTAGCTAAGTTTTAAATTTTTCAAACACTACAGTATTACCATGTACGTACATATATATGCTTCAAGAACTTTGAATTATCTATCGATAAAAAGAAAGAAATAGATTTTTCTGTCAGTTTCTAGAAATCTAAACTAGATCTTCTGTAAAACTGATCCTTCAAATAATTTCGAAAAGCAGTTTGCTTGTAAAAATATAGCTGTAGATGTCCTGTTTTGACTTCTGAAAACCGCATGCTACTATTATTTGTTATTCTTTGAGTTATTCGAAAAACAACTGAGTGCCTGGTATTCTGGTACCGATAGTAGTCACTTTACATATAACTTCAGTTACAAATTATTATTCAACGTATAATTATGGTGTGGAGATAAAAATGGCCATTAAGACAAATAAAAACTAAATAAAAAATCCAAATGGTGGCTTTTTTTGTTAACTATGGTCAGCTTACCGATAAGTTAGACTTTTGATTCTAATGAATTTAAGCATATAAGATAATTCTATTTTAGATTCATTGTATACATAATACATCAAAATGGAAAATTTCAAAAAAAATCCACAGAGTTAATAAACACAAGAGTCTTTCCACTATTGTTCCGAATAATATTTAATAAAATGTGTCTTGTATTTTAGCTAATACAATGACGATGTCTAGTATTTGTCGTATAATATGATAATAATGATATGCATAAAATTATTTTAAGATTTCTTACTTGTTGAATGATTTACCTTCATTTTTGCCTCACATAACTAAAAGAAAAAGCAATGGACGCAAAAAAAAGATTATCTGTGAAGATGGTTAAAATTTTCTGGAAGTGACAACTTTAAGGAAAAACTGGTTACTTATAATGTTTTGAAGATAGCTTTTAAATACTCGAGATATCTACCATTGTTCGGTTGCTAGGGCGATGAGTGTTTTGATTGCTCTGAACTGAAATTAACGAAATTTCAAAATGAATTGAAAGATAGGTTTTCGACTACTAAATATTGCGAGCGTGTTTATATTCAGGAAAAAGTAAGAAAATCTATCACAATATAACTTTCAAATACAACTACGCTCTCTTATTTAACCACCATACCGTATTTTGGGTATGTGTTTATTTAAGATACTCTTCTTTATCTTTAGTTTGGGTTTATAGCACGGACTGTCACTGGGTCTCAGTTATTTGTCGATCAAGAGTGACCTGTGGACTTTGGAATCCAAAATATAATCATGGAAGCCTATGGTGGCAAAAAATATCAGAAGTTTGGCATTTCATTCCACTTTGTTCTAATGTTTAATTCATTTGAGTCAAGGTCTTTTAGTCAAGAGTCTGTGAATTAAAGATAAACGCTGCTTGTAGCCACTGGCGCATTTACTTATTATCGTTTTGATCCTTAAGCGACAAATACAAACGTGCCATTTGAACAATACTGATGTAAAAGAATTGAAAAAAAGTTTGTTCTTGATTTTTAAGTAGCAGTGTGCGTTTGATTTCTTTATTTTTTGTTAAACAAAAGAAAAGAAACAATCAACATTATTTCATTTCTACACTTTTTATTAGAGAAAAAAGACAAAAAAAAGAGTCTTTGTGAAAAAGTATGGGTTCCAATCCAAGTAAACCGAATTCAACCACTGAAACTGTTGTAAAAGCGGCTTTACCACCCGTTCGTCAAACTTTAACCTCGGCACGTCGGTCTTCTGTCCACAGTACAACCGGTGGTGGTGGAGGAACACGTCGCCCTTCGATTCAACGAGAAAAGTCAGCTGTGCAGCAGGTTGTACGTCGACCATCGACCGGCTTAATTACAGCAACAACTAATCGGCGAGCATCTGTTAATCCAACAACTCCTACCGTGAAAGAAGAACCAGCTACGACCCAGACCAAACAAACTAAATCGTCATTTTGCAACATTAGTTAAAACTTGTTGGCCACACAATAGTAGACGCGACATGTTTTTGACCATCGAACAAATGAGTTTCATATAATAAACCTTACGCAAGCGTTTTCATTATTTAGACAGTTTTCCCCCGAAAAACAAAAGTCGACTATCGGCTAACAAAAAATGATTTTTTATTGTGACTTATTAGACCGCCAAAAGACGTAATTTGCTCTAATTTAATAAAAACGCAGACGTTTTTAGAATTCTTATTCTGTTTTATACGGCATTAACGTTGTTGGCAGATATCATCTGAATATCTCTCTCTAAGTCGGTTCAGTAAGTGCAAAACCTTTTCTCAGGTTATGAGAAAACGTCCCGAAGTCGTCCAGTCAAAAAAGCTGAAAAATAATACATTATTTTCCTCCAGTACGTTTATCTTTCTGGATTAGTATCAAAAATACTACTAAAAAAACTTGTAAAATTCTTCACCTGACAATTAAGCGTTTTCTTTCTGAAGAGGAGTCGAACGACCGAGAAAGCCTATAAGATAGAATAGTCATTGATGGTTTTTCTTTAATATATACCTGGCTAAATAAAAGATTTTTTTGATACTTTTTTGGGTCACACAACAACACCAGAATCCATGGTTCTTAAATGCGTTTACTTGCTCTGTATTTTTTCATGCACAAATATAAAGAAAAAACGATCGTCTTTTGTCTTTTATCGCAGAATCTTTTTTTCTGCGTTATACTGCGTGTGATTTTTCAACACAATTTTCGCAAAGCATTTTTGAAGTTCAACAATCCAAAAACACAATGACTCATTGAATGAGGCATCGTAACTAGTGTATAATTTGAAGAAGCAGAATATGTGCAAACATATTTTTATATAAACGGTCCTTTTCCACTGAAATTTTACGAGAGTTTACGAGAGTTTTTCTAAGTGATATTTAGTGTTTTTCAAAATAAAAAACTGGGTTTTTATACAACATTTTTGGGATTTTTCAAATATCTCGAGAAGGAAAGCATATTGTCGAAAAGATAAAAGCAACCTGAGATAAGAATACCTCGCCTTGCGGCTACCGTTACGAGTGTCTCTTAATCGAATAAAATACATCTCATCAGGGAGACACATCAACTATCTATGAAAGAAGTAAACTTTTCAGGTACAACTTCCAAAAAGATACTTTTTCCACAACACGCCAAATTAAGACAGACCGTCTGAGAGGCACAGTTTCGCAGAATTTTAAGTCTTTTGTGCCTTGTATCAAAACTATTATCTGTCTCGAAGTATAAGGCAAGTAGTTTTTTGAATAACTCAAAGAGAATAAAAGGAAGAGACTTGCGGTTTTGAGCAATCGAAAGAGGACAATTTAGCCTATATGTTCATAAGCAGAGACGATTTTCGAAAACATTTGGAGTCTCTTTTCTAGAGGATCTTTCGAAAACCATTTCATAATGCGAACGTTTAACATAGCAATATATTAGCTTTTTTACATGGATCAATAGCGCAGAGTGTCCTCTCCAAAAATGGGAGCTAAGCGGCCTCTTAATCTTTCTTAGTTTAGGCACGTCATCAGATTTCCTCGAAGCTCCAGGAGCGATATTTCCTTAGGTGTGCTAATCTCAAAAACGCATGGAAACACAACTACGCCGCCTGGAGACAACGTTTGATTTTCGAAAAAAATCCAAAAATCTAGTAAAAATCTATATTAGATCAAACATCCCAATAACTCAGTCAAAATCGATGCAAACTAAGTCAGTATATCAAGACGTACTCTATTGTTATGTTTAATGAGATTCTGTGCTTAAGATCAGTAAAAAATCCTTTTCGAAACATTAGAGTATTCTCACGAGGAACCATTCCAAGGTATTCTCTCGCTTTTTGTCCGAAAGATAGCTGATTATAGGTAATCGACGATGCTGATTCCGAATATGATAGCCGTTTTGGCTCTTATTGATCTTTCAGAAATCCAAGGTTTTCTGAAAACTAAAATCTAAAATTTTTTCTGAAGAAGTTCCAGCAATGTCAGATTGCAGAGCATATTGAGTTGTATATATACATGACTTTTTAGTTTTGCCAGGTGGGTTTTAAGTGAACTGTGAGTTTATTAATGTCAACTGATGGTAGCGATTTACAAGAAACGGTTAATTTTTAAATGATTTTTACCGCCTCTAAAAGATATCTGGTACAATTAAAAATTGATGGAGATACGAAGCTTGACATCGTCTACAATTTGGTGCTGTCCCGAGAAAATAAAATTTGAACTCTCGGAGACCGAAGGGTCTGTCTTTCGCTTCGTTAGCTTCCGTTTTTGGAGAGGACACTCTGCGCTATTGATCCATGTAAAAAAGCTAATATATTGCTATGTTAAACGTTCGCATTATGAAATGGTTTTCGAAAGATTCCCTAGAAAAAAGACTCCAGACTTTTTCGAAAATCGTCTCTGCTTATGAACATATAGGCTAAATTGTCCTCTTTCGATTGCTCAAAACCGCAAGTCTCTTCCTTTTATTCTCTTTGAGTTATTCAAAAAACTACTTGCCTTATACTGTTCATCGTAACTTAGATATATAGCGTAGAGCAAGGTTAGAAATGCAGAGATGTGATAAACATCTTTAAGTACCCCCTACAAACTGGATCCATGTTCAAAAACTGTACTGTCACGCCCGTTCTCTTTAAGGGAATCTGCAGAATATTCTATCTTTCCAAGTGTTTAGATTTATATTCTTCTTTTTATACATCATATAACAAGCGTATACATTAGCAGGTGTTTCACAAACAAAGAAGGACTAACATTAGGCCACTAGAGTTGGATATATAAAAATTTTATTTTTAGAAAAATGCCATCCTTTGTTTATTTACATATCTTAACTTTAATAGTACGACGGATTATTTCTCATAGCCGAACATCAATCGGCTATAAACGAATGTTTTTATAATGTGACATTATAAAACATTCGTTTATTGTCGACGAAGGTGGGTGACACCAGTTAGCATAAGAAATGAGGAGAAGTAGCAACTGCGTAGAGCTAAGAGAAAACGGGAGAAAAACATTGATGTTATAATTGAAAGGAAAAAAATTTGTGTCACTTTAAACTGTTGTTGTGGACATCTTGAACAATTAAATATGACTGCTTTTTTCCCAGATATTTGTAACTGTACACAAAAACAGAATAAAGCAAATAAAGATAGAGAAGAATAAATTATCTTCCTAGATAACGATCATTCGTCATACGTAGGCAAAGAAAAATAATGGATATAGAGTACTAATGGAAAATACTTCTTCAAGTGCATTTCCAAAACTTTGTGATACACTATAATAGTAACAAGATGAATCAAAAGGTCTTAGGATGGAAATATTAAATTCTCATTTATATTGTACGAAAAACAATGCACAGACATGTTTCTGGAACCAATGGAACATTTTCGGATGTTTCAAATGCCCTATATTTGATCAATTGAGTTTGTCCAACTTATGAGTTATCTGCTACCACGGGAATATTCAGTGGTTCAAGCCATTCTTTCGAACCAACACGAGACAACTGAAGAAGTTTTGGCATATCAAATACATCAAAAAATAAAATTATTTTTTTCATCAGCAGAACTTTGTATATATTGCCTTTGTATTCATTTAGAACACCAATGCAATTTTTTTTCTCATTTTCATCATTGAAACAGTACAAAAACCATGTCATTCATTTTTATTGCTAATAGAATATTGTTAAACGACATCTACTACGATCCAACTTCTTGCCATGAACATAGAATGACTTAAAATGTGTTACTCCTGGCGGAGTCGTGAGAGAAAGTTACTATTTATGATTCGTTGTCGGCTAAATATGGTTTGTAAATCAACGACATTTCGCACATTACGTGAATCAGGGTCGACCATTCGTTCTATTCTTGTGACAACATCACTCCTGAGACATCAAATCATTATTTTTTGATTGTGTTCTGTATAAGATTGAAACAAGTCTACTTCTCTCTAATTTAAACAATAAACTGCCTAGTCTAAAAATCGATACTAAAACATTGTTATTACAACGCCAATTGATATCATATCAATTAGCGTTGTAATAACAATGTTTTAGTATGACCTCTTTTACAATTATTGCTATCTCATCAGGCTGATGAGATAGCAATAATTGTAAAAGAGGTCAGCGTACAACATAGATCATGAAGATCCGCTAGTACTCTATGTCTTAAATGGTGTCTCATTTCGTTTACTGTTATCCATTTCTTTAGAGAATTCTTCGAGAAAAAAATTATTTTTCTACAAAATCTTCAAGTAATACTTTAGTCACTTTTGCTATTTTACATAAAACACAAATATAGCATTTGTTTCAAGTAAAAGACTTATTTGAATAAAATAAATACTTTTTATACTTTCATTTTAATGAAAATCTTGACTTTAAAATTTGAATATTTCAACGAATGTTTCTTGCTGAATGTTTTTTCCAACGAGAATTTGTTGGCATGTACAACAGATGTTATACACTTTAATCAACATTCAAACAAATATGTACCTATAACGTAAAATCCATCATTTTTGTATAGTTCCCAACGATAAATTTTTATACAGCAGCTGGATCTAATATTTATAGATTAGTACGATTGATTTCATTGAGATATGTCTGCCATGTGCTTCCATGTACAGTTGATGAATTAAGATCTGATTTATTAATGATGAGCGAAATTGTTGTTGAAAATAACAACCATATTGTTTATTAGGATTAATTATAATCATTCATAAAATCTAAGTTCTGATCACATCTTTTATCATATCAAGTGGTAATTTAGACATTTGATTATATAATGGTAAAGCTATATCAACTGTACGAGATTGTCCATGTCACAATTTACAATCGTTTTCTGTTATACCACATGTATGGAAATAAATCAGTCCATAATTTCAACCGTCGGGCCATAATTGAGCAAGTAGATTTCTTGATGATAGCAGTCATACCATTGATCATCGCTGTATCTTGGTGAACTTACTAATCGACCAAGATAATTTTGAGCTCATGAAAAATAGT